AGATTGGAAACGGTATTTATCTATTTTATTCGCGGCAGAGCCGCCTATATCTAAAACTATAGGCTCTCCTGATTTAATAGTAAAACGCATAATTACTAGAAGTTCTGCTACGTAGTGGCTTCTTGTGACGGTGTAGCCACACCATTTTGTGATTACACTGTCTTGTGTAATTCACATTTTTGTACCAGGGTACGTGTAACCCCGTTACACTCTCCCCCATCAAACTTGAGAATACCCACATTTCACATTCAAGTGTCGCCTCGTTCGAGGCTCGCGCGTCTGAGACACCGTTACGTCCCCCAAACATTCTCAGCTCAATGAGCCCTGTGCTTATGACACGCAAAACACTCAGCCTAGTCAATATCGAGGGCGCCCGCGAGCAGAGCCCTTCTTCGTCTCCTCAAGCACGCGGTGCAACTCCGGACAGTACGTCCGCTGCTTCACGGGTAGCAGATCCCAATCCCTCGACAGCCACACCGCACCCGCCACGGGCGACGGACTACTTCGTCGAGGGTTCGCGGGAAGTCAACTACGAGTCGGATGCTCATTCCCAGGATGAGAAGAAGAGGAGGGCAAGGTGCGCCAACGGCGCGACGTGAGCCAAGCTTGAACCGTGCGGACACCGCGCCCATTTTTCGACCTCTCGACTTCCGGGAGAAGTGGTATTATTACCAACCCGCCTCGACGAAGCACAGGAGCAGCAGTTGGAGGCTATCGACAGGTGGCTCTCATGCACTCGTATCCAAGTATGGTCCCAGAACCTCTTGCAGACTACGGCTTGCGCTCGGCGGATCCCGCTACTGAAGCGAAACAAGCCATCACTCGATCGTTAGGCGTCATCTTGGTCGGGCACACAAGATGAGCTTGACCAGCAAAAAGCTTTCAGAGCTCGCTTCTTGGTACCTCAAGAAATCCCAATGGATAGGTACCGCGCTCGACTTCGCACTCAAAGAGGAGGGGCTCTTGTACCCGCTATGCGGACAATTCCTGTGGTTCTTGTTCCTGGCGAAATCGCTGCAGATGATGAAGTACTTCTTGAGCGATAAGTGCAGCGGCACCGGAAACTTTCTTCGCTGTCTATCTTACAGCGGAGCCACAAGGAAGTGGTTGTGGGCGTAGTGCGTCATCTTCGACTTTAGTTTGTCAAACTCAAGGCACAACCGACTTCCTGCGTATTGTCACCCTGCGACAAATGGACTAATCCATCACGCTCCCGCGAGCTCTGTGGGTTATCACACGGGTAAGTCTACGACCACAGCAGCTCAGGACCATAGGTTGGGTTCATTTCATGGCCCTTCGACTTCCCGGGCTGCCGCCGAGAAGCGCAGGGCGCATGACGACGCGGAGCGTCATGATCCTTCTGATCATAAGCGTCCACGACGTCTGAGCAGTCTTTCCGAAGTGGCATCTCAAACTCCCACGAGTTCTCGGAGTAAGGCGTTCCACGTGATAGTAGTCGTCACCGTTTTTGTCGAGAAAAGTCGGCGGCGAACGATAACGACTTGGTTGATCGCTGTCTGGTGATTCGCCGAAGCTATTCGAGTTCTGGAGGTAAAAGTCTGTCGTCATCGGCACTCCGCTCAGATCTTGCCGAGGTCGTATGCCGCTGTGCGGAAGTCCTCGAGAGCCTGGAGCACTTTGTGCACTGACTGCCTCGCGTTGCGGAAAATCATTC